CTGCATTTCCTGCTCCTTCTTTCTCTCCCTCTTCATCCTCCCTCTCTACTGACACCTTACCCCACACAAGCTATGCCCACCGTTGAAAGAGCCAGATCCAGTTCCAGTCCTGGCCCACAAGCTCTGTGATCCAGGGCAGGTCACTGCCCTCTCCGAGCTCCTCATTTATTGGGAAAATGGGGTGATGACACCTATGAGAGGTTGCTTGTGGGGGCCAATGATATCCCAGGTGCAAATATCCCAGGCCCATTCACCCTTGGAGACCACTGCACCCAGATCCTGGGAATTGATTACAAACAGAGAGGGGGGAAAAAACCCAAAAAGCGAAAAACAAAAAAACCCTTTGGTCTTTGAGAGGCCACAGAGAGCAGGATAAGCGTACTGAATCTTGAGTCTTGGTCTTCTGTCCCATACAGTGCAAGTGGTAGGGGAACCTACGTCAAAGAGCTGTTGAAAGGACTTAATGATGTTATCGATGTCTGTTATGTATAGGAAATGCTTAGCAAATGATCTGTTATTATCTTTGCCTAGGACTGTTTGGCCTGTAGCACCCCAGGGAATGAAGGAAGAAGAAATGTGTGTTTATATACTGTGGCCAGAGTCCTGGGAAGCTGGCTGAGCTTCATGCAGCAGGGGCTGAGAAGGGTCAGGGTGCTGAAGCATTAGAGAAGAAACAAGATAGTCCAGGGAGTGCCCGGACCTTAGTAAGAATTCAAGTGGTCAGGAGAAAGAAGGGTGCTCATTACATCACTATAGTAAGCCTCAGAACTTCCCTGGCCTGAATATTTCTGTTTAAGAGTCTGCCTTCCCCTCTAGGTTACCGGCAAAGGGAGAGCCGGCCTAGTGACAACCCAGAGGCGAACAGAACCGACAGAGGCAGGTACATGATAATACCATGTGAACACCTGGATCCGGCCATTCCTGAAGCCAGAAGTTTGTGTAAGCCAATAAATTCTACTTTATTGAGTTTTGGTCAAAGTCTATATTACTGTGATTATTTTTCCTTTATTTGAAAAACATTCTGATTATTAGATGGCATCTGTGAAAATGTTCTCTGGCCCAGTAGAAGCAGGTAGCATCATGGGAAGGACACTGTTTAGGAGAAAGGAGACTCTGGCTAAACTGGGGAGCCTCTGCCCCTGTCCAGGGCCATGGGGAGGAGTATAAAACGTGCCTCAACTCTGGAGCAGGCTCATCTGGGGTCTGATCCTATTTCTACCCTGGAGGGACCTTGTACCTTCCCCTGTAAAATGTGGAGAACATTGCTGGGAAGACTCATTGTGAGAATGTGTAGTTTCATGGTTTCTACTGCTGGATAAATGTTGGCTCGTTTCTCTTAAATTCAGTGTCAAGTCAGCATCGCCGAGCTGGGCTGTCACTATGCAGGAAGAAGAGGCCAGGGCATCTTCTGCATCTTCTCCTCCACTCCCCTCTCCTGATACCTCTGTGAGGCTGAGGCTCAGCGCTGGCCTGGAGAAAGCCCAAGCAAACGCGCCAGCTTGGCCTGGCCTCCTTGTGAAATTTACAGGCTTTATCTCCACCATGACTAAATTTGGATGTTAAAACCCCAGGCGATCAGCCTGGGAATTCCTGACAAATTCCAGCAAGGGCCGGCTGTTCTCTTTGGTTTTCACAGAGTAGGGAGATTTTTTTCCCCCCAAGTAACAAGTTTAAATGAGAAATCATACTTGCTCATTATAGAAAATGTGGAAAACACTGGAGATCACCCAGAATGGCATCACTCAGACATAGTGCTTGCAGACATCTTGCTTCTTGAGACAGAATTCTTTTTTTGGTACCAGGGATCGAACTCGGGATCTTGCGTTTGTGAGGCAGGTGGTGGAACCACTGAGCTAAATCCCCGGCCCTCTTGCTTCTTGTTGGTCTTTCCATTACATGGTCAGGTTTTTGCATGATTGATTGCTTTTCCACAACCACAAGATCAGAACATATGCACAATTTTAGAACTTTTTTTCCACCGTATTTTAACTTCTTCCCATGTTAAAAACTGTTCTAACAACTGTTGCTGAATGTTCGATGCTATGCCTAGCACATTACTGGCATGCTCATGCATACCCTAAAATCAGGAGCTATCATGATTCCTGCCAGGCAGAGCAGGAGACTGAGGCAGAAAAATGTTGTCTAACCCGATGCCATGGTCAGACACAGGCTGACGTCATGACTAAAGCTCTCTCACACTTCCTTGCTTACAGAGGGGTCTACTTGCCGGTCCAGCCTGCATTTGTTGTTCTCTGGGAGAAAGAATTGGCCACCTTCAGTCCACCACATCCTGGGTCTGACCAATCAGAGCGCGTATTTCCCTTGTCTCAGAGATTGGTTCAGGAAGGGTTAACATGTGATCCAAATTAGTCCAAACAGGGAAGACCTGAGGCAAGAAGTAAGTGGGACCCTCAGGCTGCCATCTTGAGTACCTGCTTGAGAACGGGACCAGAAAAAAAGGCAGTGGGTGTAACTGAGCCCCTAATGCAGTGTTTCAAACGTTGGGCCCACTTGCACCCAAAGAACAATCTACCTCTGACTTTGTTACCCAAATTGGTTATCCCCTTATGCCCATCCAAACTGGTTTTCTGTCACTTGTGGTCAAGAGTTTTGGTGAATATACTCTGCTTGTTGAGTATTAGGGCTGCTCAGTTTTACCATTGTAAATAACACTGCAGCCATCATCTTCACACATACAGCTTATCTTTGGTTCCAATTATTTCCTTGTGACATCTTAGTGGAAGTGAGTTACTTGGCAAAAGGGCCGGGCATTGCCTGGGCTCCACAGACAGTCAGCAATTTGTCTTAAGGCTGGTGACGATTTGGATCCCTCACCTCCACTCCTGGACACTGAATGCAGGTGTGATTTTTAAAATTGAGTCCTGAAGAAACTTTATTTTCTTTTAACAAGCCAAGGTTGTATTTGTTTTTCAAACAGGAAAATTATGTTAATATAAAACAGATAAAAACAGACAAAAATCAAAACACACAACACACAAAAGCACAATACACAAAGACCAGTGCAAACCCTTTCCAACCCACTCCCCTTTAAAATCTTTATTACAATTCCCCAAAGATTAGACTGTATTGGAGAGGTCACAGTATTGAATCAGAAAAATAAGAACAGACACATTTTAAAAGGTCTGTACATAGGTTGTGGGGAGTGGGCTGAGGGTGGACACTGTATCACTCCAACATCCAAAATAATGCAACAGGGTTTCAGTGATTAACCACAGGTTTCCAGAACCCTACCATGTCTGCTTGTCCTCCGTCCACTTTTAAAAAGTTGCTTTTAAAAAGGATAAAAAGTGCACAGACACTTTCATAAGGCACAGACAGATTGTTTTACAAATCATTTCATTAGGGACTTGGATAAGACAATGAGACAGTTAAATACCAAGAAATACCAGGAGGCCACATGTTCCTGAGCTGGTGTCCCCCTGCCAGACTGGGGCATCAATGGGGTCCAGCAGTGGGAGGTTATTGCCTCTCATTCACCAAGTCTTTGCACAACCACATTCTCAGCTGGCACAGACTCCCTTGGGGTTCTCCTGGGCCTTGGGTGGGAGTTCCAGGACCCGGATGTAGCAGGTAGCATGTCCCCAGTGCCCATGGCATGACTTGCAGGTAATAGTGAGATCCCAGGGGTCCCCCATTTCTAATGCAGAAGAGGCTCTGCAAAGCATGCTGCAGACTCAGCCAGGAAGGCAGTCAATGGGCACTTACCTACATGGACAGGAGGCAACGGAAAGGCCAGGAGAGCCTAATGCATTCTGCCTTCACATCTCAGGGCCCCATTCATATTATACCTCTGGCATCAGAACTGGGGCATGGTCCTTCTGCTCCATCCCCTGCACCTCATACCAAAGGAGCACTCAACAAGTATTTGTTGAATGGCTTTGTGCATCTGGAAATGTTGTACCAGCCCCTAAACATTGATAATCAGTTTTCTGCTGCAATCTGACTATCTCCTCCAGACCACGAGCTCCTTATGGGCTTTGCCTTTGGTCTCCGTTCTCAACCCTGTGCCCAGAATATACCCTGTGCTCATCAATGTCAAATGACTGAAGAAATGGGGCTGCAGGTCAGGGAGCAGCTGCCCCAGAGTGGCTAAATTCCAAGGCTCCTCATTCTGGGAATGCACTAGAAGAGGGGAGCTGGACTTGCCTTGGGAGCACCCCAGCTTTCCAGGAGGCTCCGCGTGGAAAGGGAAATGGCCATGACAAATGTGGTGTCGCCTGGTCTTCCCCATCCTGCCCATGGAGCCCTGGCTGCTGCGGCCCTGAAATGGGCAGTGAGCCTAGTAAGCTGGGAGCCAGGGGCCCTGCACAAGGCTATGGCCCATTCCCAAAGCTGCCTGCATGGGCACCTCAGTGTAGCAGAAGACTTTGGGCTGGAGCCGAGCTCTCCCATGCTCAGCTTGGCTGGGAGAATGTGGCAGTGAGCACAGGAGCCAGTAAAGGAGGATACTTGTCCTTGCAGGATGTAGGCAGCAGAGGGGCTGCAGCCTGGAAACTTCCACAGGTACAGGTGCCCAGGCTCTGACCAGAAATTTCAAGGAAGAAAACACGGACAGCCCGGAGCTTTCTGGGGCCCAGGGACAGGGGTTGGGTAGCATGGGATTGGTGCCAGATGTGCCTAGGCCTGAATCCCAGCCCTGCCCACTTCCTGTTATTTCATCCTTAAGTCACTTCACTTACAGCACCTCAGTTCTCTCACCTGTCAAATGGGGACAATATCTTCTTTCCTGGATTCTGAGAATCACTGCTCTTCACACTTGAACACCTCTGACTGGAAGGGATTATATAGTTACGGCATCTTAGCTAAGATTGGCAGTAGTTTCTTAATGGTACATAAAATGGTGTCTTCTTATCAGAGGTGTCTCAGAAGTGACTGGATATGGCACTAAGACCAGCTTCCTGGGGTGAATGCATGGAGGTGCCTCTCTAGCTCAGCGCAAAGGCACATAGTAGGTAAGAATAAAAGATATCCTGGTTCTCTTTCCTCCTTCCCCACCCCTTCTTCAGATGAAGCATGGCAGAAGATGTGCCCATCCCCTAAGTATCAGGAAATGTCTGGTTTTTTAGAACATAAACACCCCCTTAGCGCCTCTGGAAAACAGGGAGGCTCTTTGTAGCGGCTGCAGAGCAGGTTAAACAGGCCAGTGGCTCCTTTCTTTCCAGGTAACAGGTCACCAGCAGCATGCTGGGTCCACCCTCAGTCCGGCCCTCAGCACTGGTTTCCTGGTGGTGGCTACATGTGACCTCTGCTGGAAGTAAGGGGTCAGCTGGGAATGGCAGGGGGCAGGAAGGAGGCAGCCAGCTCTCCCAGGCCACTGGTGCTGTCAGCATTTGTGACGGTCTCAATCTGGTTGGGGGACGGAGCCTATGGTGGCTTTGGCCGCACCACCCAGCACACAGGGAAATGAAAGAGTCCTGCTGAGCAAATTCAGCTGGGCACCCAGGGCTGCCTGATCCTTAAACTCTTACCGTAGCAAACACTGAGGTTCTAGCATCTCCTCAAAAGATTTTGCTGCAAAGGTAAAATGTGGGCAGATCCATCAAGGGAAAGTCAGAGATCAGGGCGTCTGGCTGGGTAAGAGAGTGGTGCTTCTGAAGATCAGGTCAGAAAACCAGAACCACTCCTAGCCAGAGAAAAAGCACTTGGCCCAGGACCTCCAGCATCCCGGGGCAGGGGGCATGGGCTGATCTCTGGGACAGGATCTCAGGAGGCCTAGCCTAGCCTGGCTCCCAGCAAGGGGTTGTTAAATGAATGCAACAATTCCCTGAACATTTTTCTCTCCCTTTCTCCCTCTTTCAGCAAGAGATGAAGTGATTAGGAGTTCTAAGAAAAATGCTAACTGGGCCTGGAATTTAGCTCAGTGGTGCTACACCTGCCTGGCAAGTGCAAGGTCCCGAGTTTGATCCCCATACCAAAAAAGAAAAAAAGAAAAATGCTAATTGTTCTTTGCAACCTAGCTTAAACTTTTTAGAATGCTGGGCCCTTTCTCCTAAGAGCTAAGAGAAGAGCAGTGCTTGACTTCTAATTAGGAACCCAGAAACAAAAAGGCCAAGGAACTGCCCTAAAGGCGCGGCTTGGAACAGGACAGAGGGGGAGCCCAGGCTGGGGCAGGAAAGGAGGAGCAGGCGAGTCAGCCCACGAGCCCCAGGTCCTGCATAGATGGGGTCTGCAGAGATGGGCTGGGTGAGGGCCTGATGTCAGGGCCAGGGTTGTGGGAAACACAAGCAAGCAGATCTCGGAAGAGGAAGAATCCCAGTGTCAGCACTTTCAGTTAACATCTCAATGATTAGTTAACTACTCCTCAGTTCACACCTTTGTAATGGAAAGGGAAGAGAGGCCAGAAATCAGAACAAGGAACATTACAAAGCCTGGTGCCCCTCATCCTTCTGGTGGCAGCTTCTAGCCCCAGAAATGCCACAGCCCCTTAGTGCCAGGCCCAGGGGCCACCCCTGGAAATATGGAGAGCTGTCTGTGCCCTGTGGTGGCATTCCCAAGTTCCATGTAAATCACCTGCCTCTAAGGTCCTCCCTCTCCCCAGGACAAAAGTGCCTCCTCCAGTCTTCTCCTTGGAGAAGGCGAGGGTGTTAATAAAGATTGAAAGCATCCTGGGAATGAGCCAAGGTGCAGTGTGCTTATTATGCAGTCTGAGGGCAAAGGGCGAAAAGATGCCACAGCCCAGAGTGTCCAGCCCTAGCACCCATGAAAATGCTCCTCCAAGACTAAGAACCAAAAAAAAAAGTGAGTGTCTCCGATGTTCTCCACCCACCTTCCTGCCACCAAGAGCGGCTGCTTCGGAGCTGTAAACAATGAGTTATTTTTTACCTCTCCTTAGAAAATCTCAGTTCCTCTTTTCTATACCATCCAAGAGAGTGCTGTGTAAGTTCAGACCATGTACACTCAAAACCAGCTTCTGTCCCAGCCCCAGAAAATGAAGTTTCTAGTTGCACTGACATTTGGGCTCTGGACTGCACAGTCCTTAGTGTTAAATAACCTCCTAGATCCAGGATCCCTACATAAAAGACCTATGCATTCCTGGCTCTCTCCTCACATTCTCTCTCCGTGTGGTCTCCCCTCCCCCCCCCTCACACACTCAACCCAACCCCAGAAAGAAGCATTGCACAGACAGAGGGTGCCGGTTCCCAGCTGAAAGGTCACCACGGGACAGGGCATCTACCAGGCAGTTCCTGAGCTCGCTTGGGATGGCCTTTTGGGGGCAAAGCACTTTGAGCCAGAAGCAACTCTTGCCTGGGCTCAGACCCCCAGGGCCTCGTCTCCACAACTGTCACATGTTGCCCACCATCGGAGAGTGGCACACAGGAGATGGCTCCTGCCCTTGGACTCCCTGGTGGCTGTGGTGGCTGCCCAGTCCAGTGGGAGCTTCAAAAAGGTGACCTTGCTGCAACGAAGGCTGGCTGGAGGGCCAGGCTAGGGCCTGTAGATCTTGATGACATCCTTGATGGGCCGCCGGCAGATGGGGCAGCAGGCCCGCGCCTGCCTCTTGAGCCGCAGGCCGCAGCTGTGGCACAGGCACATGTGTCCGCATGTGTAGATGACAGTGTCCACCTCGCTGTCAAAGCACACCGTGCACTCGCCGTTCTTGCTGCCCGCTGGCTCTGGTGCGGAGCATGCTGGGGACACCGGGGGACTCAGTGGGGAGCTGGGGGCTGTCACTGCCCAAAGGGAGAACAGGACATCCATTAATATGCAGTTCCTGGTTGGGCTGTGCTGGGGCAACCCCGAGAATGTGGTTTCTAACCAGGAACCGGGGGGAAAATGATTTTGAAAATATTTTGGTTTAGCTTTCTGGTTGTGCACCTTTTCCTACCCTTCCATCCCACCAAGCATCGAGATAAAAATCCCATCACCCTGTGGGAGCACAGCTGCATGCTCCTCCTCCAGCAAAGTACAGCAGAGGCAAGGAGCAGATGTCAGGGGAAGGGAGCCAAGCCAGCACCAGCCCCGGCCCCTGCCAGGGTCTACACTTTCTTACCCAAGGATGACTCTGACGCCGAGGAGGACTGGTTGACACTGAAGGTCATGTCTGAATCGCTATCGTCCTGGGAGCCACTGAAGGAGCCTGACGGAGTTGTAGTTGCGGGACTGGACTGCAGGGTACCTGAGACCCAGAGAGACTCCATGAGCGGCAGCAGGAGGCTGGACACGCCCTGCTGGACCCTGCTTCCTCCCCGCTTCACAGCTCAGCCTCCCGAGCGTCCAATGAGAGGACAAGAGCCACGCCCACACCCAGTGCTCTCTGAGGAGGAGGAGCTTGTGTGAGTGCGATGGCCATCTGCTCTTCTCCTGCCTGGCCTCCACTTCCTTTTATTTCAGAAACAGCACTGGGCTGTTCTTTAGGGGCACTATTTCACTCTCACATGTCCAGAGCAGGCCAGAAAGAACTTCCACTCCTCAGTCCTAGGGGTGATTCAGGGAAGGGCAGAAAGCCAGCAAGGCCCCTGAGGCCCTATTCTGTGAGTTTCTATACAACTGCTGTGCAAGAAAGGGCTCATTCTACTGGGAAGTAAGCCTGGCACTTCGGGAGCCACCCTGTGGCATTGGTTGGGGTGGAAAGAGAGATGGGATCCTGGCTATTCCTGACTCCATCCTAGACTTCTGAGTTAGATGTGCTCATAAATTTTCCTTTTTGCTTAGAGCACTAAAAATGGGGTTTTTGTCACTGTCAACTTAGGGACCTTAGGGTCCTTGACTGCTAGTGTAGTCAACATGGTTAAGTTTTCTCCCCCAGGCTCACTGATTCAGGTAACAAGATGTTACTTCTTAGGACAAAGAGAAATTCCCTTTCCCTTCCTCTACATGAAGAGGAATGGTCAGATAATGTTGCAAACGGCTGCTCTGAGATAGGGATCAGGAAGCACTCCCTTCCCTTCTACTTTCTCTTCCTAACCACTCAAGGCTCTGCCTGGTTACTGTGGAGGTGCTAGGGTGAGGTAACAATGATTCTAGGCTTAGTCCCCGCAAAGCCCCAGAGGAACTTGGGCAACTCATCTCAGGCTGAAATGATGCTTGTGTCTGAAGTTTCTTCAAAACAAAAAATCGCCAAACAACTACCCTTGACACCCTGCTCCTCCTCTTCCCTCATTCGGACCCCAACAGTTGCCACTGTAACTATTATGGCTGATTAAGAAGGCTGTGCTAGACACCTGCTGGAGGCATGGGCGCACCCCTCCCTTTATCCTCGTCACCACCCCACTGTGCAGGTGCTACTCTTATTCTACCCCAAAGGAAACTGAGGCTCAGGAGAGGTTGTGATGTGTCCCACACCTTTACAGCTGACCAGCTGTGTCTCTGAGACTGCCATTTAATTTCTGTTTGCTTTGATTCCTGTGTGCAGACAGGGTTAATGTTTATAGGTCATTGGGAGGCTGGCATGCAGTGAGGAAGCATATGAAAAGTCGACTGATCCTCTCGTCTTGAGGTCTGGAACCATGAGAGTGGATCTGTTTTCTCTGGGAAGTGTCCCTAACCACTGCCCACACTCGGCCATGCTGGGGGAGAGGCCCCACACTGCAGCCCTGTCATACCACACCTGTGAGCTGCTCACATGCATGCTAGGTGTACTGTCCTCTGGGGGGGTCCTGTCCTGGAGCCCAGGGCCTGGCCCATTGCTTGTGGGCTCTCCGTGTCTATTAGGCATGGATGAAGGCAAGAATCATCCCCAAATAGGATGGCTTAAGCCAACTCCCTTTCTGCCTGGATGTGCATGTGCCACTGAATTTACTTTGCATTATGTATGTCACAAAAAACACGAATAAATCATAAGAAGGAAAATAAAACCACACTGGCCATTTATAGACGGCATACAGCCTGCAGGTAGAGACCAGCCAGTTACCAAGGTAGCTAAATGGTTTACAAAGTTTGTCCAGGGCACAGGACGTGCATCAGTGGGGGACCAGTTAGGACTATATCTTCTGGGGTGCACCCACACCTATGAAAGGGGAACACTGGCATGGGCGCAACCAGGGACAGTCTGGGGTAACAGATGGTGACAGATGATCCTGATGCGCCCCATGCTGATGACAGGCCGGGGTGGGGGGTAGGAAAGGGTGGTAAACCTGCGCAAGCACAGGGGGCCGGGCGCGACTCACCTAGGAGGCGCAGCTGCCCGGCAGCGCCTCCACGCACAGCAAAGAAGGCCCAGAGCGCCTGCGTGGTGTCGACGCACA